GTCTGTGGTGGCACATTTCTTAATAATTTCTATAATGGACAATGTTTTGCCGCACCAACACGAGATGGCCTCAGTGAATGCATGCTCCGTCCGTCCTATCCATTCAAATCCTCTTATTTATTTACTCACATGCATATAGCCCATAAAGTAGTTGTTTTCCGCAATATTAGCATCATATTTCGCATACCTAGACTCCTAGTATTGAACAACGTTGTTCGACTTTGCAAAATCTATCTAACCTCACAAACTAAACTGATAATATTGCCAGAAACAACTTTTTTTATTATTCCTTTTTGTAACTCTCTAATTTTTTTTATGCTTTGTGCTTTATAAGTTTGTTCTATTTATCAGTTCCAAAAGTAATACAGAAATAGTTAATACCAATTCATCATGGCTGTATTTATTTGTTGATCTTCCTCAAAGGTGATAGAATAAAAAAATAATAATTTCAAAAATTACATTATTTTATAATTCCAATATGTAAGGTATATATTTTTCAATTAATAATATTAGATCTACCATTTTTAATTTACATTTTACATAATTATTATTTATTTATAGAATATTTTTTGAATTAGCTGAGCACCTTTAAAATAATGTAAAAAAATAACCGGGACACACTGTTATATGCTGATAATTCTTAATCAAGCGGTTTTATAGGAAAACTATTTTAAAGCATTTGCTTAAAACCAAATAAATCAACACCGAACAAAAAGATAAAACCCGTATTAAAGTTATTTCCGTCCGCGATTTTTTTTGTGTCGTTAAAATATAATTAATTAAATAGAATCGGGATGAATGTACTATAACATCAATAGTATCTGTCGCAATTGATTTAAAACACTGCAGGGACTACCAGATTTTTCTTTTATTATAAATCACCATCGGATCAAACCAAATAAACTTCTCTTTTTATGTTTTATTTTAACTTTTCCATTCGACACCGTTATTTAATTAAAACTAGTGAAGATGTATGCCGATAACCGACAAATTTTGTTATTGTTAAATTCTTATTTTTATGAATTTCTAATGTTTTTATTATAAATGAAATAAAAAAGAAAAAATCATCTTTAGTAAATAAATAAATGATATAAAATTGTTTAATGGCAAATGCATAGTTTTTTTTTTTTGAAAAATGTCCAATTAACTAACAAATTTGTTTATAATATAAACCTTGTTTAAGTAGTTACTATTCCTATTTCTTTTTAAATTGAGTTAACTTATTCAGAAATTTTTTTTTAAGGATATAAATAATTTGTAAAAAAATGGGCCAAATGATCCAAGAAGGTTTTGATTTTACATATATCATTTTTTTACAGCTTGAAATTCAAATTTCAGTAGGTATCTGAACAAACCGTCGAAATTTCGAAAACATTTTTAATTTTGCTTCGATCTAGTGAGATATTTTTTATAAATTCAAAAAAAAGAAAGATCTCCGGATGGCGTTATTGTAGCGTGAAAAATTTCTATTTTGGAACTTTATATCACATTTTTTATATAATTTTAAAGCTTTTATAATAACCCATTTATTAAATTAAATCGAAACATCTTCAGAATTATTCATATTCTAATAAATACATAAATAGGGTGTCCTCAACTTTGCAACTTCAATAAAAAATGAAAATGAATAAAAAATATCACATACGTACGTTTTCTTCACTTGTTTTGACTTTATTTAAGTTTAAAAAATAATGTGTTGTGACTTCATTAAGCGAAAATTTCGAATGCTGCTAAATTAAATATATCCCAAAAATTATTATTAGAAATTCGAGATATTTGTATTTACTAATTTATGTTTTAAAATAATTTTGGCAAATGTCTTCAGGCTCATAAAATGTTAATTAAATTTTCAAATAATATAGTCGTAAATAGTATTTTAGGGTATAATAGGCCAGGAGATATAGAGTTGGACGCGACTTTTTGTTTCGGCAAGCTGAATTTATCACTATAGATGCTAAATATTATGTACAATACCATATTAGTTTCAACAGTCATAAAAATGGGGGAAGATTGTTTACAGGGTGGTTAATTGTATAATTTTTACGTAAATTCACGTTTTTCGCTTATAACTTTTTTCCGTTAATTTCCACGAGAAAACAGGAAAATATATTTTTTTTCGTCTTCAAAAGACCTACAATACTAGCCCTCGAGCGTCAAAAAATATTGATTAGATCAAAAGTTATAAATATAAGAAGTTTATTTATGACTTGAATTAAACATTTATAAACTGCGTTATTATTACCAGAACGTTTTGGCATCGCATCCTCTCATTCCTTATCACTGTCTAATAACTCACACGAAATCTGGAATCGATAAGTTTACAAGTTATGGCCTTATAAACAAATTAACTAATCTGGACGATCCCGAGCATCTTCCACAATCGCACTGATTTTTTTCATGGTAGATTTGAATTGATTTGATTTTTAGATTGGAATTTTATTTTATTTTTTAGCCTTAGTTGCAAAATGAAATATACGACGCACGCGCGTGATATAGTTATATATTATAACATATTCGGAAAGCTTATGAAAAGAGCATTAAGTTAAAAAAAAAAATCGTCAGGATTCGTTGAAAAACAACGGAGTTACAGACTAGTTTTGTAGGTCTTTTGAAGACGAAAAAAAAGTACTTTACTGTTTTCTCGTGGAAATGAACAGAAAAGTTATAAGCGAAAAACGTGAATTTCCGTAAAAATTATACAATTAACCACCCTGTAAATAATCTTCCGTCATTTTTATGACTGTTAATATGTTATTGTACATAATATTTGGCATCATAGTAATAAACTCAATTTGCCGAAAGAAAAAGTCGCGAAATGATAATTTCCCAGCTCTTTTTCCTGGCATATGAATTTCTTTTATAAGTACGTTTTGCAAACGAATTTCTGACAAATCGTCCAATCTGGCAATGATGAATTTCAATAATTTCCTTCCATTATCGGAGAAACTGTAGCGGTCTCTAGCAGAGGACGCAGAAATCACTAGATTTATAGGATCCTACATAAAAAACTAGTACAGAAATCTTTAACAGTTATGCCATCCTGTCAGTGCACTAACAGACATTTGCTGATTTTCCTAATTTTCCGCTTAGTGACGTCATACAGGTACAAATTGCAAATTAAAATAAGAAAAAAACTATTGATTTAAATTAACTAATTCTATGATCAAGAGTATTTATAAAACATTTATTTTTAGGAACATTTCCATTTTCTTCACGAATTTCAGTGAAATACATTCAATTTCATATTGAAAAAGTTTTGAAAAGCAATATTAAATGCTTTTATTTATTACTTCGACGAATTACATTTTTTTATAGAGCAGAAAATTGATTCTAATGCTCTGAAGATGTTTCATTTAAAAAACGAAAAATTTTGGTTTATTTTGTCCAAAAATTCCAGTTAATCAGACAAGAACAACCCTGCTAAAAGGCTAAACTTACTATTAACGCCACTAACAATCTCGGATCATTCTAGAACCAAATTCTTTTTGTTCCTCGCTTTTTTCTGGTGATAGTTGCAAGTGTGCACTACCAGACTGTTTTTGGTCCTGTACGAGCGGTTGCATATTTTGCACCAGAACTCCTGAGTCTGTGCGTAATGCAGGTCTTTCACGTGCCTTCTAAGCGTTATTCTGTTCCTCAGAATTTTCCCGCAAATTTTACACTCCTCGCCGACACTGCGATACTCCTCCCCCGACGCCTCGCCACCTGGATATAGAGAAAATAAATTGTTAGTTGACTGTGTACGACACCCACTTATCCTCACAGAAATCATAACAAATCAATAAAAGAAGCTCTTTGGAAATACAGTCAACTAAAATGATTTATTTTCTCTATAAGCCATTAGGGAGAAAACCAGCAAAATTTCTATCGTCAAACTCAAACCAACTGTTTAATAATATATATATATAAAAAAATAAAACAAAGCTACTAACTATAATCCCACTCCTGATTTTTGTTATCCCACTCCTGATTTCATAGTCCCACTTCTGATTTTAAATTTACAACAAACTTTGTCGTTTTCATCGAGTTTCGGCCCTCGTGGGCGTTTCATGGGGCCTGTAAGCTCTACTAGTTCCGTGATACTGACTCCGGTGACTGATCAAGCTATTCCGTGATCGGTACGAACGTCCGCAAACGTCGCATTCGTGGTCCTTGGGCGTGTAATAGTGCGTGTCAGCAAGGTGGCGTTGCAACGACCAAAACCGAGAGAAGGACTTATTGCAAATGATACAATGGGCTTTGCCTGGCCTGATCCCCTCTGACGATTCTGCAACTAACCGTTAGAGGGGACTCAGATCGGGCTTATTACACGGCGCAACACTTACAGTAAGGTTAGGCGTTGTATAAGGCAGGTTTGGGGAAATTTAGAACATAAGGCAGCCAATTCACACAACCAAAACGTGGCAGGTAACAGACAAAAATGATGAAAGGCCGGGAAATGTCTACCTTACATTTAAAATTCCGTTTACAAAGTTTCAAACCACCAGCTTATAAAACAATACATAAAGGTTTGTTAAAATAGTTCAGATTTAAATGACAAATGATAATAGTTAAAAGATGGTGTACAAAAGCTATGTTTCCTCATTGTTTAGATGGCTTCCCCAAATTAATGTAAAAATTATATGTATAAAAAAATAAAAGAACACAAGGGACAAAATAAACGAAACACACATGTTAAAACACATTCCGAAAACACTTATTGGACAAACTTAAAGAAATCTTCTGCGAGCACTACCAAAAGCAATTTCTCAAGTCATTAAACATCTTCGGAAGATTTCTTTAAAGTGGGACTTGCTTCGAAAAAGATGCCTGGCTTTTTTCGAACAAGTCCGGATTTAGTAAGACAAATAAATACTGTCGGATCCTACCAAGGCTATCGCTAAAATCCGACAGTATTTAACCACACTGAAAGTCACCTTAACTGCCACACAACATTAAAGACAACCAGTTAAGACAACCAGGGGATATTAGGGGAACGTTCAAGTAAGGAGTTCTCTTACCTTGCGACGTGCCTGCCAAGCTGTCACTTCCCTGCAGAGATTGATTCAGACCTGGAACAAATGAGGTTATGTTTAGGTGCACTTTGATCGCCAACAAAATGGCGCCGTGACAAAATTGGCTCACATACCATCACACCGGCAATTTTAAGATCACCATATTTTAATGCCAATTCGGACAAAGCGTTGAATATTAAAACAGTCGAGTGTTTTTAAAAAATGAATGTTTTTTGTTGAATTGTTGGTATATAGACAGAATTGCGCTGTTGATTATAAGTAACATGATTGTTTTAAAAAATATTTTTGTTTTACAAAATATAAACTAATGCAAACAATGAAAGGGTCAAAAGAATTTCCGAAATTTTTCCGTGATTTTTGATAGACTGTATTTAAGTAAAAAATGGTCGTATCGGGAATTAAATTTCTTAGAATTGCATGATAACCGTAGCTTCCAAAAAATTTCTGCCTAAAGATCTAAAAACTAGAATCTTAGAGCTTCAAAATGCTTTTTTTTAATTCCCGATACGACCGTTTTTCACCTAAATACAGTCTGTCAAAAATCACCGAAAAATTTCTGAAATTATTTTGACCCTTTAATTTTTTGCATTAGTGTACATAAGAAGTAAATTAAATACTTAGTAATACGATAGTTTTAAATAATTTTTAAAATCATTTCAAATTTTTAATAAAAGATATTTGTCACTGTTTTTATAAGCACTGTGTTTAGTTTATGAATCTTAGTGTCATTGACCTCTGATGCTGATCTAGTTTAAGTGAACTAATACATAATATCAATCCACCTAATGTGATACGACAACAGAGCACAGTCAGCCCATGTTATGGGCTCATTTAGCGTATTTTTTTAAATTTATATTCAAAAAGTACATATCGTAGTAAAGATCTGAATTTTTTTTCAACAAATTCTCTCTAAAAACAATTAATCCAAACAGAGCGAGTAAAACCCACAGAAGCTAGTGTATAGCACGGGATCAATACTCTTGTTATATTTCAGTTCCTATTAACAACATAAATTCTGTTTGCAGCAGAAGAGTACATTTTTAAACCTATATCTGCAGAAATACCTATAATTAAAAAAAAATGGACTTATATCCTTCTTGCATCAAAGTCTTCAACGTGATATAGTGCCGCGCATTTTTTACTTATCTGCTATTTTTAGCGTGTGATTTTTGGTTAGCAAAAATATTTTATAGTCTGTTTGGAAATGAAAAAGAGTAATAAAACCCCGAGATAAGGACCGGCCATGGGCTTGGTAATATTTCGTTTCAGGTAATTATCGGGTAACACTAATGCTAACAAAAATGACAGGGATTGGAAAATCGACCATCTACAGACTTTTTTTAAGGGAAACAAAAAATTAACAAGATAATGTAAATCCCCCAAAATCATCTACAGGGAGGTCAAAAGTCGTTATAGATGATTTCTTCAAAAATGTCATTCGCAGAAAAGTACACTTATTTTATTTTAAAAAAGAAATACCAACGCTAAACAAAATTTTAAGTGAACTTTCAGAGGACAACGATTTGCCAAAAATCAGTAGAAGCAAATTATGGGCCGTCTTACGAGAGTTGAATTTTTGCTGGGAAAAGCAGAACAGGAAGTCAGTTCTTATCGATAAAGATGAAATTATTTGTTGGCGAAGATCCTACTTAAGATCAATTAGAAAATTCCGTGACGAAGGGAGGAATATTTATTATCTAGACGAAACTTGGGTCAACGAGGGATATACTGTAACAAAAGTATGGCAAGATAAAAATGTAAAAAGTTTTCGACAAGCATTTTTGGATGGACTTTCAACAGGGTTCAAGGCACCTTCAGGTAAAGGGCGAAGATTAATAGTGACACATATAGGTAGTGCCAGTGGTTTTGTAGATGGCGGTTTACTTTTATTTGAATCTAAAAATACAGGTGACTATCACGAAGACATGAACGCAGATGTTTTCGAAGAGTATTTTACACAGATGTTGGATCTTATTCCTCCGGGGTCTGTAATTGTCATGGATAATGCCAGTTACCATTCACGGCAGACCGAGCGGACGCCTACGACTGCTTGGAGGAAAGCCGATATAATTCAATGGTTATCCGGAAAAAACATTTCTTTTGAAACAAATATGGTGAAAAAGGAACTTTTGACACTTGTCAATCTTAATAAAGATCAGAAAAAATATGTTATCGATGAAATGGCAACAAATCGCCAAATAACGGTACTACGGTTACCACCTTATCACTGTGAACTTAACCCAATCGAATTAGTCTGGGCGCAGGTAAAAGGAGATGTAGCGCGAAATAATACGACGTTTAAATTAAGTGACGTGAAAATTTTGTTAAAAAATTCCTTGGAACGAGTAACTGCAGATAACTGGCAAAGATGTATACATCATGTACAAAAAGAAGAGGAGAAAATGTGGGAACTCGATAATTTAATTGACGTTACTGTGGAACCTATCGTTATCAATCTAGGAGACGAAGATAATTCATCAGAATATTCAGAGGATGAATTTTAATATACCTACTTTTTTATTTTCTTTATTGTACATTTATACAACACTACATTTACTCACCATAATTTGAATTTTCAAAATACATATATTTTTGTGTGGAATAAAAGTCTATTCATTAAATTTAAATAAATATTTTGATAATAATATTGAATAATTTTATTTGAATTACTAAAAACCCTCTTAACCCGGTTATGATGCTTAAAGTAGCCTCATGTTTTGAAATGCTGTTTTTATATTGTTTACTTATAAGAGAAATGGACCGAGAAATTGAAGCGGCATAGACAAAGACGGATTGTCGGGGATTAAATTTTAGCTACCTGCTACAATTTAGTACAGTCCGATCGCACAAAGTTTTTTTAAAAGTACACCTCATCCTATACCGATAATACATAATATAAAAATATTGAATATAAGCACCAGTACTACATTTATTTACGATTTGCATACATTATAAGCTTTTATTACTCTCTTTCATTTCTAAACAGACTATAATAAAAATAACCACCTTTAAGTGATGCTTTTGGCACAAAGATTTCTTCGACTAATTTTTATTTCATTAAGTATCATTAAACAGGAAAAAATTAAACTATACAACAAATAATACAACAAACCTAAACACAAGACAATAGCTAATAGCGTATTGGGCAGTCGCAGTCGGGTCGATCCAATCGAACGGTGTGACGACATAAATGCTCTACTAACGGCGTAATTTTATAGTAAAATTTAAAATAGTGTTTAGTGTATAAACTTATAAAGTTAAGCATTTCAATTTTTAACGAAAGTGCGGTGTGTTTGCGTGTCTTCATTGTTAAATTTCTGGGTGATATGAAAAAACATGTATACGAATAAAAAACGATGAGATTGAAAGTTAAACCAAGTACATTATCTACATATTGATTGAAGTTAATACGTCTATGAGGTGTACAGAGCCCTAACAACCTTTTACCAGTGCAGGAGATGGTTTTTGGGCCAAAACTGTCATGGTGCCATATTGTTACCATACAAATCACAAAGCGTTTTGGTCATTGCGACTTTAATTGAGGAAAATCAGGAGATTACAGCGAGTGGCTCTAAAATATCCACTCAAAGACTTAAACAATACAAATGTAGTTTCAAAGTGACGGTACTAACCTCCAAGACCAGTCGGATCGGCGGCGAGGGCCGCCATACTGAAATTGAAGCTGCCGGCGGCCGTCGCGAACAGTTTGCTCTCCGAGGGTGTCAGGTACGGCCCTATGGTGCTGTCGTGGTCCTCGTGGTCTCCCCCCGAACTGCCCGAGTGCGGTCCCTGAGGTAGGTTGTTAGGCCCGTTATCATTTGTTGCGTCCGTGGACTCGTTACTGTTCTCTTCTGGATTTGTACTACATATAAGCTCCATTGGTTCGTTTTTAACGTTGCTCTCGTTGTTTTCGTTACACCGAGAGTGCAGCGTGGGGGATGGCGAGCAGGGCGAGTTCTCCCTTTCTGTACTGCTGATGCCGTTACCTGGAAAAGGAACGCCGATGTGTTACCATCGATAATGGGGTGTTTTCCAACGTTTTAAGTACGTCACGAAATGGAAATGGGTTAAACAATAGGGGACCCATACTTATTATTTTATAATAACGCATAAAATTATGACTGGAAATTACAGATGTTGGTACTGGTTTATGAATTAAAAAAGTTATTTTGGCAGATACCGTTAGAAGTTCGTTTTGCAAAAGAAAAATAGTCTAATTTGTGATACAATATACAAAAAACACATCACTATACAGGATGCAGGAATGTATTACCTATCAAAAATTAAGTGTAGTTTGCTCTATAAAAATTTTTTATAAAAGCCTTTGATTTGGAGATACAGGGCGTTGAAGCTTAAAATAAAATAAACACTTTTTGACATCTCGGTTATCCACGAGTAGATTTGATTTAAACTTGGTACACATTATGCGTATTGGGGGTTCTCATAATTGACAGAATATTTGTCCTATCGCATTAGCCAGTGGCGTGCAAAGGGGGGATGCGTGGCCCCTTTTTCAAAAAAAAAGTACGCCATTGAGTTTTTCGAAGAATGTAAAGTAAATTTAAATACTACCATACAAAAGCAATCTAAAAGGTCACTTGGTATTTTTCGATAATACGCAGCGTTCATGAGATTCTTGGACTATTAAGATTTCAATGCATGGAAAAAAATACGACATTGAGTTTTTCGAAGTATGTAAAGTAAATTTAAATACTACCATACAAAAGCAATCTAAAAGGTCTCTTGGTATTTTTCGATAATACGCAGCGTTCATGAGATTCTTGGACTATTAAGATTCCAGTGTATGATAACATGGCACGGTAGTGCTGAATGAGAAAAAGATATATTTTTCTTTGAATTCAAATGTTGCATTAAAATTTATAGCAACTTTTTTGTTTCGCAGCAAGCCAATAACTTGTAAATATTTTCACTACTTTCTTCTACTCAATGTCGTAATTTTTTTTTCATGCATTGAAATCTTAATAGTCCAAGAATCTCATGAACGCTGCGTATTATCGAAAAAATACCAAGAGACCTTTTCGATTGCTTTTGTATGGTAGTATTTAAATTTACTTTACATTCTTCGAAAAACTCAATGGCGTACCTTTTTTTTGAAAAAGGGGCCACGCATCCCCCCTTTGCACGCCACTGGCTAATGCGATAGGACAAATATTCTGTCAATTATGAGAACCCCCAATACGCATAATGTGTACCAAGTTTAAATCAAATCTACTCGTGGATAGCCGAGATGTCAAAAAGTGTTTATTTTTTTTAAGCTTCAACACCCTGTATCTCCAAAACAAAGGCTTTCATAAAACATTTTTATAGAGCAAACTACACTTAATTTTTGATAGGGAATACATTCCTGCATTTTCCAAATTTAAAGTGAAAACACCCTGTATACAGGGTGTCCCTGAAAAGGATGGACAACTCTTGACCACAGGTTCCTTGGATGAATATAAGACTATTTAGCCTAACTTACCTATATGCAAAAGTGCACGCCTACTGAGATATAGCCTTCTAAATATAGAAAAGATAACCTATTTTTTCAAATAATTTGAAAACTATTTTTCTTAGAAACTTCAAATTTGGTACACTTATTTTTTTACACAAGGGCAAGGTAAATATAGAATTTGGAGAGAATACATATACAGGATGTCCTATTTCTAGTGCCTGTGCGCCACTGGCTATCCCGTAACTTTTTTTTATGTACGCCAATGACGACAGAATTTATATTTTTAAAGATAAGCACTATTTTAGAAGATTTTTTGCCCTTACAAAATTTCGATATCGTTTATGGATTTCGAGTAAAATTCGCATTTTTTATACATTAAATATAGGCAAAAATTCCGATTTATAAAAAATAATTTATAACTGCAGCCTCAAAACAGGGAATAATAATGAAAAAATGTCACATTAAAAAAAATAACTACACATTTTTGGTATTAGTATTATCAATCAATAAAATAAAAATCAACACTAATATTTTAAATAAACAATATCAACTAATAATGTAAGAAAGTCAACATTAACATTTTAAATAAACTGATATTTGTAATCACATTAAAATAATATTACAGTAAATGCTCAAAGTTACTTTCTTGTTCTTAAACGCAAACATTAGTTCTTCGAAAATTAGAAATTATCCAATAATTGTGCATTACCTCTCATAACATTAATTTCATGTTGTATTCTTTCCCATATTCGTTTTCTGTATTTACTGAAAAGTTATTTTAAACTGTGGTCCTCAACGCTCCCCAAATGAAATAATTACATGGGTTTAGGTCCGGGGATCGAGGTGGCCATTTTAAAGGGGCATTATTTCCTCTACCTATCCACCTGTTAGACCTTTAATAACCTGTAATACCTACCTGTACCCTGTAATACCTGTAACCTGTAATAACTGGTCTTTTAATACTCTATTAAAGGAACTTTTTGAAAGCCAACCTCTGCCGCTAAACGCCTTTTATTTACTTGAGGAATTTCTTCGACCCTTTCCAAAATTTGTTCCTCCAGCTGAATAATTCCGGCCGTACATTATCCACGATTTAATGTTACAGGTAAAAAACGTCCTGTTTCCCGAAGGCGTCTCTCCGCATTAGCAAATGTTTTGTGATTTGGAGTTCTTCGATTAGGAAATCTTTCAGCATATGTTCGAACAGTAGCACAACAATTTCCTTCACAATAACCCAAAACTACTAACATATCAGTTTGTTCAGCAAAAGTATAAATTGCAATAAAAAACAAAGTAAGCTAAAATTAAATCACAGCTAGCTTGACACAGAACCTTTTAATTATTGTTATGAATTTGTTTCTCTGTTATATGGCACCTCGTACTAGAATGTTCTATTTATCTTAAACTGATTTTATATTATTTAATGTGTAAAAAATGCCAATTTTACTCGAAATCCATAAACGATATCAAAATTTTGTAAGAGGCAAAAAATCTTCTAAAATAGTGCTTATTTTTAAAAATATAAATTCTGTCGTCATTGGCGTACATACAAAAAAGTTACGGGATAGCCAGTGGCGCACAGGCACTAGAAAGGGAACATCCTGTATATGTATTCTCACCAAATTCTATATTTACATTGCCCTTATATAAAAAAATATGTGTACCAAATTTGGAGTTTCTAAGAAAAACAGTTTTCAAATTATTTGAAAAAAACTAGGTTATCTGTTCTATGCTTAGAAGGCTCTCGGTAGGCGTGCACTTTTGTATATAGGTAAGTTAGGCTAAATAATCTAGTTTTCATCCAAGGAACCTGTGGTCAAGCGTTGTCCATCCTTTTCAGGGACACCCTGTATATCTGCTAATTTAATAACTGTATAATGGACCAGAGAAAGGTGACAAAAATGTTTGGCAGTTTCACAATTATGACTGTTTCCTAGCAACAACTTGCCACCTACGGTACTGGTATTTTATAGTTGAAATGAATTGAATACCATTTTTTTTTAATTAAAATCTGTTTTTGGTTGTATGAAAAATAACAAAACTTTTTGCAACACACAAAACAGTGGCGTTGTACAGTGATTTGAAACCTGTCAAAAATATTAGGTAGGTATAGAATTTATTATTACACATTTAGCAATCAACAGAAAATGGTAAATAGCAACGATTTGATAGATTTTACGAATACTTTACAAGAATACTTTATTGCCACAAATTGATTGTACATTCTAAAAACATTTAAAATTATTTAAAAAACCAGTGGCGTACGTTTTTTTTTTTTTCAAAAAAGGCCCCCTACTCCCCCAATAACTACGCCACTGGAGTGTATTTTGGAATAAGTTATCCATGAAAAAATAGTCCCTTCCAAAAAAATTTCATCCTCCAAATTTTATCACTACATATTTTTTGCCAGTTAAGTTACAGGAAAAATCATATAAATATTTGAAATGCTGTATCTCGGTAGGGACACGTCCTATCAAAAATTTTTATAGGGCAAAAGTTGATTATTTTCATCTGTAGAATACGCCAGTAAAGACTGGCAAAAAATTATCAGTAGCACCTGTATATTATGCGCTACAAAAAGTTACTAACGTTTAAAAAATCAATCTGTTTTCGTCTTATAAACGTATTTTAAATTATTTTGACAGTTTAAATGGGCGTGTCTTTCAAATTATTCCGTGACCTTGGACCTTTATTGGTTACAAGTTATTAAAGACCGCGAAAGTTAGTTTCTTTCGGTGCGAGATTTTTTGATTAGGCAAAGCCATTTTCACAAAAATAACCCTTGCTCGATCTTTTTAGTCCAAGGGTTTATTTAATCAATTTTCACAGGTTGTAAAACACCCAATAAATAAGAGAAAAAAACTATGCCACAAATAAGTAACTTCAGGAAATATCCCACTTCTGATTTGCAATTTTCCAACCGCCTAACATTTCGACGACGGAACAGAGTTTTCGCTCTGCGCTAAAGTTGGTTAAAGCACCAGCGGGTACTCACCTTCTGGGTCACTCTTCATCGTGGAATTCAGATTAAGATTAAGTGCACTATTCTTCATGGCGCTGGGAGAGAAGTCCGCCGGCTGCGTCTGCGGGGGCTGCGTGTGCGACAAGTTCAATTCGTTATTGTTGTTGTTTCCTATGATGTGTTCCGATCTGGCCCTCTTGTGTTCGCTGTCCGGGTCCGAGGATATCCTCCGCTCCCGCCTGTACTGCATGGCCGCCCGCCTCAGCAGCTGGTTGACCGTCGCGCCGTGCGGCGGCGACGACGGCGACGTGAACAGGGCGTCCTCTACTAACTTTTCGGTGAAGCTGGGGTGGTGGTTCGACAAAGGCGTTGATTGCTGTTGTTGCTGCTGCTGCTGCTGCTGCTGCTGCTGCTGCTGCTGCTGAGATCTAACCATACTTTGTACTTGGGCCAACTGTAAGGGAACATCGCCAAACGGAATTAGTTTGGATTTGTGGACATATATATTTTTTTTAGAGTAGGAAAAAAGTTTCGTACCTGATCACGGCCGTCGCCGTGCTGTTGTGTGAGTCCGCTGACTCTGAGAACTTCCGCCGTCTTGAGGAACGAGGATAGGGAGCGCTGGTGTACGTTAACTTCGCCGTGGTAGATGAACTCCACCAGGGCGTGGAGGTCCGTCCACGCGACATCTTGTAGCACTATCACAGGGTGTTTGCAGGGCGTAGACTGGAACAGAACATTCGGATGCATAGGACATATAAGTGAATATATTGCCTAGTATACAAAAGTAAATATATAGTGTCCCAATATCTCGCTTACATGGAGCTACCACAGTTTGCTGAGATGAAAATAAACGTATTTTACCTGTATCCTAATAATCCTGCAAAATAAGGAAAAAATTAGCGAACTTTTTTACTGAGAAAAAGTGTAGGTTTTGACGTCAGAAAATATATGTCACACACACAACCATCAGCAACATACAGCGTTGTGAGATATAGACATGTGGTATACAGGGTGTTCCTAAATAAGTGTCGCAACAGGACACTGTAAATTGTAAACATTTTGCTAATGTTTCAATAATCTTTTGTTATTCAAAAGATAGATAGTAATAATTAACAATTTTAACTAAATTTAACATTTGCAACAAGTAGCTATTAATAGTGGTAATGTGTGTACAAAAGCTCAGTCCTGTAGTTCAAACGGTTCCTAAGTTATTGGCAAAAATATGAAAAAAAGTTTTGACACCGTGTATCTCGAAAACGAAAGCCCGGAGAGAAAAATGGAAGAGGAAAATAATTTTTCTCTTTTCAAGAGGAATTTGCAGTTTTCCGTTGCGACACTTATTTAGAAACACCCTGTATAACTACTCGTACATACATATGTATGACTTCGCGTGTTTTGACCAAAAACTGCCAATATCTCAATGAAAAAAAGTTTCAAATAAAAGATTTTCAAAATTAAATTTTCTACAAAATTTAAGTTTTCCCATTTATTTTTTTAAATGAAGATTAAAAAATGAAAAATTAACGTTTTGGAGCCAAATAATGGTCAATTTATTTGTTAAATAACAAAAGTGAAAAACAGAAAAGAAAATTGCCGAAAATTCTTGGAAAATTTTCCAGTTTGAATATTTATAGCATCAAACTTCTATAAAAATCTGTTTCTTTGAAATTTGTAATACTTCTGATGAAATTGAAAATTTAAAGGTAGTTTTAAGTCAAAAAACGCGAAAAATCATACACAGGGTGTTTCAGAAAGGCAAAGAACTAAGATTTTTTTACATATGAGCTATATGTCTGTCTCCTCTCGTTTTCGAACGATAAAACAAAATTTTTTAATAGAATTTTTACGAAAATATCCAAACGGTGCGAAATATTTTTATGAAATACCATTCGGGCTCCAATTTCTAATGTACCATTTTGTTTTCTAAAAATAATGTCCTCTTTTTAGAACTTCCTAATGTGGACGGTTTTCGAGAAAAAAGGCTTTTAATTGAACTCCTACAATATTACGGTGATTTTTAGTGACTGTAGTTAGTAATGACTAATTACAGTCACTAAAATGTTGATATAATTTTAATTAGAGTTTAAAATTGCTAAGAATGCATGCGTTGTTTATGAGACATCCATCAATAAGTTTTGACATAAGCCTATTTTGAGAAAAGTCACTTATTTTCTTCACCGTAATATTGTAAGAGTTCAATTAAAAGCTTTTTTTCTCGAAAACCGTCCACATTAGGAAGTTCTAACAAGAGTACATTATTTTTAGAAAATAAAATTGTACATTAGAAATTGGAGCTCGAATGGTAAAAAACCTAACCTTAACAAATNTATTAAGTACAACTTTTTTAAATTATTGATTATAGATTCTTAAAGGGGACCCGTATTTTTTCTTTTTGCCATCTGGCCCCCTCTTTCGGAGTTACAGCCCCCCGAAGTCCGCCCCTAAGAATAATCTTTTTTTATATCTCAGAACCCTGTTGAACCAGAATCACTAAATTTGCTACACAGGGGTTTTATGACATGTGGAATGTCACAGTGCTATGCTTTTTGGCGAGAAACCCCCTTAAATCACTTTTTTGTGGACCCTCTTGTCTTTGGAACCAGAAAAATTTGGTCGCAAATTTGATTTTTTTTAAAATTATTAGTTAGAAAGCCATTGAATAATAATTTATAAATTTAAAAAATTTAAACTTTAAATTACTTTAAACTTTTTTGTCTCTTGACATTTTTGTTTCGTAAAACGCAATGTTTTTGAGAAAATTGGCGAATCACGATTATGCACTCGATCACATTTTGATATTTTTATCGAAAACATTGCGTTTTATGAAGAAAGTATAAAGAAAAATTTTTTTGGCTCCAAAGACAAGGGGGACCACGAAAAATTGTCTTAAGGGGGTTCCCCGCCAAAAAACGATGATGGTGCTACATCAGATTCCACATGTCATAAAACCCCTGTGTACCAAATTTAGTAATTCTCGTACAACGGGGTTCTGAGATATAAAACAAAAGATTATTCTTAGGGGCGGACTTCAGGGGGTTTGTAACTCCTAAAGAGGGGGCTACTTGGCAAAAATAAAAAATACGGGTCCCCTAAATTTATTTTAAGAATCTGTGACCGAATTTTGCTACATGAATTTCGAGGCACTCTGTATATTACAATAGTATATATTATTATTATATATTACGATAGTAATATCATCCAATTCAAAATTAAAAATGACATTAGATTTTGTCATTAAAATTAACAAAATTAACCAAAAATGTTGACACCATTGGATAGAGCGTAAAAAGTGGCAGTGTAAATATGCAATTTATTTTAAAATTCGTTTTCAAATAGTCAGAAAAAAATAAAACGATTTTGCAAAATTTCGGGTTTTCCGGATAGGTATCTCTGGGACTACCTGGAATTTTAAAACATTTTAAAGGGCATATTGTTAGGTATAAAAAACAACTTTTTTATCATTTGTGCCACCCCGTATCTTTTACCGTTTCCTAGATCCTTATATTGGACACACTGTATTTACTCAAACATAAATACATATATGATTTTTCGCGTGTTTTGACCAAAAATTGCCAGTATCTCAATGAAGATGAATTTTTTCGAAAAAAAGTTTCAAATAAAAGTTGTTCAAAATTAAATTTTCTACAAAATTGCTCCTATGAAAAATTTCGATTTTCCCAGTAGTTTTCCCGTTTATTTTTTAAATGAAGATTATGTTAAAATTAACGTTATAGAGCCAAATTATGGTCAATTTATTTGTTAAATAACAAAAGTGAATTAGAAAAAACAAAATTGGGGACAATTCTTGGAATTTCTTATACAGTTTTCCGAGGTTTAAATATTTATGAGCATCAAACGTATCGTTTTATATTATCTTCTCTAGGGTGTACATTACGAATTAATTATGCGCTTTTGAATATTTTCCAGAAAAAAAGTTTTTTTTAATTATAAATAAATTAAAAAAAAATATATTGATATAATATTTTTATTATACCTGTGCAGCTCCAGAAAATTCCTTTCCTATTTTCATCAAATTTAAATTTTCANTTTAAAATATTTTATTTTATTGCTTTGTATCTCGAAAACAAGAGGAGATAGACATATAGTTCATATGACAAAAAAATTCTTATTTTTTGTCGTACTATTACCCCCTGTATTTACGGAAGGTTTTTCTGAAACACCCTGTATACAGGGTGTTACAAAATGTTGTTCAGAGAATTCTAGAGCAAATTCTACATCCAAAAATACGAAAAAAATTCTATAAATGTAGGTCCGCAAATGCTTCGTTTTCGAAATAGACGGTGTGAAAAAAAAATATTTTTTTATTGATAATTTTTAAATTTTTCATTGGAAATCGTTTAAATTTGAAACAATATATTTATGATACATAGGTTATAATTTGGTATAATCGATTGCATTTCAGACCCATCAGGGGCGTAGTACCTATTGATTTTTGACCAGAAAATCTACGCCACTGGGTTTTCTACTGGTTTTTACTTTATTTTTAGGAACCTCATTTATTTTAGAGCAAAAAGGCCCCCTTGCACATTGTTCATTTAGCGAGTGGCTTTCGAGCTATTGAAGATTTTTAAAAATCATGCTAATCTATCTATCTATGAAACCATAACCTACTAAAAAACATAGTTGGTGACTGTCACTGAAAGAAATGGCCCAAATTTAAACGATTTCTAATGAAAAATTTAGAAATTATCAATAAAAAACATATATTTTTATTTTTTTTGACACCCTCGAAGCAAATGCTTCGTTTTCGAAATGTGCTTCGTTTGCTACGTTGATAGGAATTTTTTTCGCATTTTTGAATGTAGAATCTGCTCTAAAACGCTGTACAGGGTGAGTCAGTTTTTTGTAGTAGGGTGTAATAGTAGATAGAGAATCATTTTTTAATAAGAAAAGTTCCTATAAACGTAGGTCTTAGAACGCTTCGTTTGTGAGATATAGGGTGTTGAAAACAAACTTTTTTAAAGAATTTTTCTTAATATCTCTAAAAGACCAACATATATTGAACTGAAATTTGGTATTAATAACACATTAGTTATGGTGAATAAAATAAAGATATCTGTTATCCATTTCACCCACCAGTGACGTGCCTGAGGTGGGTTACTGCCCCCTTTAAAAAAATAATTCGTACGCCCGTGAATTTTTCTGGAAAATAACATCATTTCTAAATTTTTTAATCAATTCTGAACAAAACAGATCTCTTTCAATTTTTTATAAAATTAACGGTTTTTGGTTAAATTCATTTGGCATGAAACTGTTCCAACGATATTGGTACCTAATACATTTGTGAATTAATAAGAAAAATATGATGTGCACTGAAAATCAACAAAAACGATTGAATGAATAATAACAGTTGATAGAGAATCATTTTTTAATAAGAAAAGTTCCTATAAACATAGGTCTTAAAACGCTTCGTTTGTGAGATATAGGGTGTAGAAAACAAACATTTTTAAGAATTTTTCTTAATATCTCTAAAAGACCAACAGATATTAAACTGAAATTTGGCATGAAAAAACAAACACAGAACTTAAAAAAAGAACTAATTGACACACACGTTACACAATGTTTGCGTTCTTATGTCAACGTTATGACATTTAATCGTTTTTGTTGATTTTCAGGGTACATCATATTTTTCTTATTACAAATGTATTACCAATATCGTTGGAACAGTTTCATGCCAAATGAATTTAACCAAAAACCGTTCA